TCCTATGTTGATGTATATTTAATTACTAAAGGTACTGTTCCTCCACTCTGAATTATTTGTGTCGTTCTTTCAGGCTTTGTTAAATTTTTTGGAAACCTGGCTGTTGTAGACAGCCCGCAGCAGATCTGTGAACGATACCCTGTCTTTGTGGAAAAAGTCTTTGAAATGGCAGAAAGTCATGATCCGACCATGATTGGAGTGGCCGTGGATACGCTGGGGATCCTGGGATCAAACGTGGAAGGCAAACAGGTTTTACAGAAAACAAGTTAGTATCATGTTTTTCAATTTTATCAGTATGTCATAACGTACAAGAATGAATTGCTTTGGTGTGATAGAGGAGGGAATGCTGTACTCCTGTAGAGATCCATCTGAAGTAATTAAAAGCACTTTGGTTTTCTTTTCAAAGGGAGTAGGTTCCAGACCCTGTTAAACAGAATAGGGCACCAGGCAAAGAATGCCCCGACGGAGTTACGGCTTCGATGCTTGGACGCAATTTCATCGCTTCTTTACCTGCCTGTAAGTTTGTGGCTTGAGTTGGGGGTTGGCTTTTTTTAATCTACAATAATTAAATTATTGTGCATCTAACTAATTGGTTGAAGACCTTTTTGCAGCATCTAGTTTAGGTACCAGTGGTAGCTTTCTGCTGTTCTGAGGCATTAAGAATAGTCATTCTGGGGCCTACAAGGAAGCTGGGGGGGAATTTTTCCAAGGGCAGGGAGTGACAGGACAAGGGGTAATGGGATTAAATGGAAAGAGGGAGCCTGAGATGGGACATCAGGAAGGAATTCTTCCCACAGAGGGTGGGGAGGCACTGGGACGGGTTGCCCAGAGAAGCTGTGGATGCCCCATCCCTGGAAGTGTCCAAGGCCGGGCTGGATGAGGCTTGGACCAACCTGGTCGGGGGGAAGGTGTCCCTGCCGGTGGCAGGGGGTGGGACTTGGGGGGACTTTAAGGTCCCTTCAACCCAAACCACTCCGTGACTCTGTTCACTTCACTGTTTTGAAATTCCCCAATCTGTTTGTTTGCGTAAAGTTTGAGTTTGTAGGAAGTCAGGTGTTCTGAAATATGTTTATAAAACATGAAGTCAAGACAGCATGAGGGTGGGAATGGGAGTAAACTGTTTAATATTCTTGTGCTTTAAAGGGACAGTGGCAAACCGCTCTAATCCCGGTGTATGTTGTGTAGATCCAGGGGTCTGGTTTCAGTAGGGCAGCTCTAAGTGGGTGAGCAGGGCCTCTTCATCTGCCTGCAGGACTGCACAGCACTTCCCTCGTGTAGCAGTTAGTTTAAATCTGTCCTCCAAGCTACTGAAATACAGAAGGCCATTTCTTCATTCATGAAAACAAGTTGAATGTTTAAACTATTTCAGTTTAATCTGCTGGTGGTTCATTTTAAATACCTTCCTTAGCTGTTGAACATACAACCAAAACTCAAAAGCTTTTCATAATCCTGACCAAACTCTTCCGTTTTCGTACGCGGCGCCTGCAGCCGGAGCAGCAGACAGAAGACCTTTTAAGAATGACTGAATCGTGGTTCACGTCCTTGTCTAGCCAGCCACTGGAACTCTTCCGGAGCATCAGTACTCAGCCATTCCCTGATCTCCACTGTGGGGCTTTGCGGGTGTTTACAGTAAGTGCTTTTTGCTTTCAGAGATCAGGCAGGGAATCGTATTGGCGTTCGGTCGTTGATTTACTTACTTATTTTTTAAATGAATGCCTCAGACTTCTTGCTGAAGCTCTGATGTGGTCAGAAATAAGGCCTTTCTCCTTGTGCCTCACTTGCATTCGCTGTGTAAATAGTGCAGCAGGCATGTCAGGTCTGTAATACTTATTTTCTTATAAGTTGAGATGAAAAGAAGACAACAGCCCTGCTCTAGGGTGCTGCTTCGGTATCGGGGGCACTGCTGTGATAATTCACTTAAAACTTTGAAGGGTAAGCACTGAGCTGGACTTGTTTTCCAGTGTTAAACCCTGCTGCTTGATTTGGGTGGTGGCTGTTCTACTGTGTAGAGTGAATATCCCATTTCGTTTTTCCTGTTCCTTGGCTCTTTGTGTGATGGCCTACCATGTAACCAGCTTTTTAAAAGGAGCTCTTTTCCCCCTATCCCCTCTTTTTTGTCTTCATGTTTAGGCTATTGCAAATCAACCATGGGCCCAGAAGCTGATGCTTGACAGTCCAGGGTTTGTGGAGTACATCGTAGACAGATCTGTGGAGCCTGACAAAGCTTCGAAAGATGCCAAATACGAACTGGTGAAGGCCCTCGTAAACTCGAAAACGATCACGGAAATCTTTGGGAATCAGTATTTTCTGAGGCTCAGGGCTTACCTGCGTGAAGGCCCTTACTATGTTAAGGCAGTTTCTACTACAGCCGTGGAAGGAGCAGAGTAATGTCACGGATGTGGTTCCCCTTCTTGCACACCGTGTTACAAAATAAGTGTTAAGATGTAAGGTGTACAGGCTCTGCACGCTGGAGTCTCTTTAGATTGTCTCTTTAAAGGAACGTGGAGCACTTTTTTGCCTCTATTTGAAATGAGGGTTGTGAGAGCAAATCAGAACCTACAGGGCACAGCTCATTTCCCCATAGAATGTCACGGCAGAAGTTCTGTGTGTACCGTTGTGAGACGAGGAAGCAAGGGCAGCTCTGACAGCTGACTGTGCAGAAATTACCAGTGTTTGGTTAAACTGCTCTGTGGTTTGGTGTTCTTACCGTCTTTTGTCAGTAGATCACAGTACAATTAAAAAAACAAAACAAAAAAAAAAACCCACAAGAAACCAACACCAAAACACCTCGAGGTTTGTAAATTCAGATGCTGCCATAGTTTCTCTTCTAAATTAATTTTAATGTCTGCCAGACTCGGCACGGGCGTGCTCTTCTAGCCAGTCATGCTCTGTCAGAGCCCCCGTGGTAGGCACAGGCTAGTAATGTTCTGCCCACACGAGGGAGCGCGAACTAGATTCATCTCTCTGTTCAACCTGCTAGATGTATGTCTTGCTTGAAGAAATAATCCTAAATACCGTTTACATTTTCTGCTGAGGATGGAAAAAAAAGCTTTTAGCCCTTTTGAAAACGGATGGCTGCACTCTCCAGTGTCTAAAACCAAACTGGGAGCTTTGTCTCCCTTGTTGACTGCGACTTTGTACGGTGGCTCGGTTGACTTGCTCAACGGGAGCGTGAGCTGTAGCACTACAAGTCTGCTTCAGAACCAAATCTGGAATTGTTTACACTATTTTTTAACAGAATTTTTTTAAGTATTATTTAAAAGGTATGATTTTTAGTTGCCTGAGTTAGAATAAAAGAACACAGAGCTTTCATGTTTAAGGGCATGAACTGAACTGAGAGTATGAAAATGTACCTTATGAAGCTGTAACCCTCTGAAGGTGGTCAGCTCGCTGTGGATGAGATCCAAGGCTGGCTGGACTCCAGTGACACGTGATCTCTGTCCGTAGAGAGAGACCACGAGAAGGCTTATATTATTTTTGTTGAGTACATAGTAAACAAATCCAAGTAATAGCTGGGGAAGGGGCATAATAAAACACAAAATTACTGCTTTGGGGCTTATTTTATTAGTGTGTTGGGTCAGGTGGGCTCTGGAAAGAACTTGCTCTGCCGAGTGAGGCTGGATGATCTAGTCACACAGTTAATTTTTCCTTGTTAAAATGCAGCAGAGGTGATGGTACCGCCTGCCCCAGACTGCTGGAAGGTGCCGAAGCGGGCTCAGAGGAGCAGGGTAGGTGGGGAGGGTCCCTCAGTGTTGAGTAAGCTGAGTGCAGGTGATCTGCCTTGTTGCTTACGACCCGAGATGTACAACAGTTGTCGTCCAGCGCTGTCCTGCTGCCCACGCTTTCATCCTACCTGTGCGCAATAAACGGCTGTGAGAAACGCAGTACGCGGCGTCTCGTTTGTGAGAGGGGAGAGCACAAAGGCTTCCTGAATCCTGCGTCCAGAAAAAACCATGAAAGCACTGAAAAGGAAACGAGAAAAGACTATCAAAGTCCTTAGTTTGCACTTGTGTTGGATGGGTCAGTTCTGTTTTAGGTGGCTTTGTGCTCTGAGCCATACGCTAAAATCTCAGTGAAAGAGATCAATATCTAAACCTTTTCTGCAATTCATGAGTCTCTTCCGTGTGTGTTTTCAGCTGTTGCTTCTGAAGGCTGCTCTGTGCTCAGTCTTTAGCATCTGCTTTGCACAGTATGTCTGCCAAATACAATGTTTTAGAGGACACAGATACGCCAAACAAGGGGATTTTTGTCTGTGCCCTTATGCTTTATTTCTTATCTATGCACATGTTCCCCCTGGTTGATGGGACTCTCACCCTTATTCACAGGTAGTTCCCTACCCATTGTCTACATTGCTCTGTGCTTCACGTGTTTCTGCTGGCGTATCTTCTGGGTAATGGAAAAACGTGAGTGTGTTGTCCCTGTCCTCCCCCCCGTGAAGTAACAGGTGGAGATAACTGAGGAAAACCAGAAATGGAAGAGTGGAGAATGAGAACGGAGGTGCCGTGCTACTCTTGGTGAAGTTGATTTACCCCCCAGAAGCAAAGCTCGTCACTTGATCCAGCATAACTTGGTACTTAAGGTTTGCGGCTCCCTCGGAGTGTGGCTCCAAGCGCTTCGGCCGCCACGGGAAGAGTTCGTGGTGCCCTCCCAGGTAGAGGTGTGTCTGTCGGGGTTGTAGGATGAACCTGGCTGCTGCTTTCTGCCGCCGGAAGAGCTGGTGTGGAGGAGACAGGCGTGGGTGGGGTTGTGCTCTGTGCCTGGCTCCTGATACCTCTTGGATAAGGTCGGGGTTACAACGTGCTGGTGAATTTGTTCCGCCTTCGCGGCTGACGCTGTTCTCCCGCACAGCGTTACGGCACTGAGCTGCCTGTGCCGGCCGCGGCTGACAGAAATCGGAGATTCTCTAGGAGGTAAGTCAGACTTCTCGCCTCAGATCTCCCCAGGCTCTTTAGCGGAGCCATTCCCGTGATGTGGCTGTTCCCGCTCTAAGCTGAACTGTAGTTTCCCGGGCACAGGCTGCTCGGAAGGAGCTTCCTTCTGCAGATGGAAAGATTCCCCTTTGTTGCAAAATACTCCAGAAGCGATGCCCCACTCAGATAAAAAAGCAGGAGTTCTGGCATAAGGATAAAGGACTTAAGAAGTCTGGAAAACACTGGGTACAGACAAAGTTCCTTGGAATACGTTTTTCCTTGTGTGTGTGCCCTTCCAGGTCCGTAGGTGGCTGGAGGACGCCCAGTTCTCTGGCTGCTGTAACACTATAGCACTGAGAATTCCTGTGCTGTTGGAGGGAAGAGGAGGCTCTTGTTTCTGGATGCTGAGGATAAACCAGCTGCTAGCAGGCAGTTCGGAATTTCTTCGCAGAAGTTAGTCAGCGAAATGAAGAATCTCATATTTGAGTCTATCCAAGTTAAACCGTTTGAACTTCTCAATATAGGTCAAAACCTTGCAGGACACCAGGCCGTAGTACGTTTCCAGTAACGAGCAATCTTCCCCAACGCTCGTTTCCTTCCAGTCTTTAAATAACTCGTCCTCTTTCATGTTGGAAGAGGTGAAGATGAATTTATAGCAGCATCGATTGTAGCTAATGTGCTTTTCCCCAGAAAATCGAGAGCTGTGAATGGGAGCGATGCCAGCCTTTTTAGCACAGATTCCAACAAAGACATCGGGGGGTGCCGAAGCTGGCACCTCCTTGGCGGCCACGTAGACCTTGCGAGCGACGTCCTGGGACATGACGAACGCGCTGCCTTCGCAGTAATCGGGGTAGAACTCTTCGGAGTACTGATGGACGGGGACAAAGCCAGGGCTTTTGGGGTCTCTGTCAGGCACTCCTTGATGAACGACCCTCCCGATGTAAATGTCCTCTAGCTGTGTTAAGCTTAGCAGGTATCCAGCCAGGCTGGGAATACCAACAAACACGTCCTCGTCTGTTTTAAGAATATACCTTGCATGGGGACAGAAAGTCACCGTCCACTCCAAGCTCATCAACATCTTCTGTGTCTGCGTCTCGGGAGAATCGATGAAACTGCCTTCAATAATGTCTCTGTGCTTTTGAGACTCGGCATTGATCGCCAGCTGGGTGGTTACTGACGCCGGCTTTCCTACAGCAAACAGAGTAAGGACGGCGTAACCTCCGGCATCTGTCACCTTGCCCCACGTCTGCCTGATCACGTTGCGCCTCGTCCTGTTTTCTGGGCTACTGCAGACAAGAACGAGCAAAAATATCTCTTGATTGGAGCATGTTGCTGCGCTGCTGACAGTGTAAGAGAGGTTGGCCTTTAGAGGATCCATGTCTAGCTTCCTGGCCCTCTCCCTGATTTCGAGAGTCTTGGCATCGGTGTAAGAAAGGGGCAACGACCGCAGGAAGTATTCCTCCAGTAATTCTCCTCCAAAAAGCAGCATGTGGAAAAGCAAGACGTTAAAGAGGATGAAGCACCACTGGTGAGTCCGGAGCCTGCAGAGTGTCGGCTGGGGAGGAGAAGACATGGACACTGAGTTCTCTTGCTGCTAGAACCGAAAGGCTCTCCTTTGTTTTAGAAGGTATTCATGCAAAACAGTCACAGCTTTCAGACCGTGGTCTTTGCATGGCCAGTGTCAGGCTCTTTTCCTCCTGGAAACCTAAGCAGTCCTATTTGTGGTACTGAGATCCTGAGCTGGGAAAGCCACGACCGTGCTGTAGTTTAGAAAGCTGCTCCCTGTACATCCATGCGTGGAAATGGCGAGAAATAACTCACTGTTAATCATTTCTGACTGTTTTTAACCTGTTACTGAAGGCCTGAGCTGCTGCTGAGGGCCTGTAATGTTAACATGTCCTCAAAGGAGAGCCTTTGGTACTAGCCCTGACAGCGCTGCGTGAGAGCTGGCAGGGAAGAAGCCCGAAGGGAAAGCTGTTATCCCACTGTCCCGGGGGAAGAGCCTCGTGCCAGCCTCCGTGCTGCAGCCGCGTCGCAAGCCGAAGCACTTACCTGCATGGTGGTGGGAGTTCTCCCTGCGGCAGGGTCTGCGCTCGCGTCGAGGCCGTTCCACCTGGCAGAGGCTTACGGGGCAGCGTCGGTATCGGGGTCTGCAGGATCCAGTTACTGCCCAGTCCCCAGACCGGCTTCCACCTCGCCTGCCTGCGGGGAGGAAAGGTGATCCCAGAGGACGATCGCGTTGCAGCTGCATAAAACACAAAGCAGGTAAAACTAGCCTTTCCCTTTAGTCATTTGTGATGCCTGGGGTTGGGTTTCTGAGAAATGAAGCAGCTGCCAGGGCTCGCTTGGCAAAAGGGCTCCTCTGGTGCCATCGTGAAGCAGTGCCAGGTCTGCCAGTTTGTTTTCTCCAGCTGTGCTGGTGCTGGTTCCTCCTTCCAGAGCAGTTGACCCCGGTGCTGGGCACGCTGCATCTCCTCA